ATATATGTATATATATATGTATATATATATACACACACTGATGTGGAAGAAACTCCAAGGTCCATTAAGAGAAATATGCCAGTTGCAGACTACAATACAAATAGCATGACTGGACCTCCTTTCTGTAGAAAATACCCAAATGATAACATTTCTAGAAAGATAACACAAAAATAGTCAAAAAGCAAAGGGTTGTCTTTGCTTATTTGTGCTATTTTCCAAATCTTTGGTTTTAGTGTGATCCACAGAGTGTTTTGTTAGGGGAAAGAGTGACAGCTTTTGAAATGGTGATAGTGAAAAGATTAAAGGTGGTACCTACTCTCCAGAGGTATCTCCTGTGGTTACTGGGAGAAGGCAAGAATCTTGTAGTAGCAGGGGACATTTCAGCAGAGTAGATCAACTTAGAATGTTAGCAACCTGCCATTCCCACAAAATGAGAATGGAAATGTTCAGAGACACTAAATGACTGCTGGTGAGCTACTAAGTATATGAAGGGATATATGTATTTGCGAGCAATGCAAGAGACACACATGGGAAAAGCCTAAAATAGTTAACAGCATGGACTGGGAATCTGCATTTCCATTTTGCTACTTAATAGCTTTTTCCCTTGAGCCAGTTACTTAATTTCTCCAGAGCTTATTTTCCTCATCTGTAAAATGGGATTCTCATACTTACCTCACATGTGTGTTAAGACTTCATTGAGTCTGGCTTGCAGATTAATGTTTTGTTTCTATTGAAGAAAAAATAATGATAGTGACAGAGACTTGATAGAATCCATTGGCAGCATCTACAAATGGGATGCAGAGATGAGGGAGTATGGAAGTGAAGAATAAAGACACAGGTTTCCTGCTTGGGAAGCTGGGTGGGTGAAAGTGTCACTGACAAGGTGATAGCGAGAACTGACATGGAAGGCTAGAAGGATGTCTTTCCTTCTGTTAAAACTGTCACATTGATAACTTGGAAAGAAGGTAATGTACCAAGTTACTGTTGGCTGTGCTCATCAAGATACTTTTTTTCCCAAGGTACTTTTTAACAAAATAGAAAACTAGTTTGAAAGCAGGAATGAAAGGTAATTGTGTCCATCAAGTCAGGGAAGAGATCAAAGGTCATCATGGAAAACAGTGGACTGAGGAGGCCTTCTAAAGGAGTGAAATCAGGACTTAAAACACTCATTTCAAGGTGGAGGACTCTCAAATGGTCTCCTCAAAGACACTGCATAATTGTTAAGACCAGTGATTGCATTTTTTCTCTTTCCAAATCCAAGTGTTCCCATAGTTTCTCTGTCTCTAGTTCACCACTGGCTGTGCATGGGGCAGAGTCCCAAATCTTAGAATGTGAGCTCAATACCTGTCTGACTGGCTGTTGCTTTTAGGTTTGTTGCTCCTAAGTAAATAGTCTTTTATTTTTTTAAACTTATTGTGAATTGAGTGAAGATTTACAGAGCAGATCATCAGTTTTACATTCCAGAAATCATTTACTTTGCTTCATTACACGGTTGCAATCCCCTCAATGTACCAAAAGTTAGAGTTTTTGCCTCTATTCACTTTATATAACTATTGATTTCCTCCCTGTATCTCCCGCTACCTTCATCTTTCCTATGTTAATTTCCCTCTTGTTGTATATTGCCTGCCCTGTCACTTATGTGTGTGGCACTGTGGGTTGATGTGCTAGGCTGCAAGGTTACTTTGAACCACAAGGTGGATGGTTCAAGCTCACCAACTGCTCGTTGGAAACCCTATACAAGGCTGCTATGAGTTGGTACCTACTCGAGGACACTCAAAAACAAAACCATAATCACCTATATAATGAATGATTTTTATCTCCCCCACCATAACCATCATAAATTTATTTTAACAAGAAACCATTTCCCCAACTTTTTTACATTGATCTCAATTTTTTTTTTTCTTCCTGATTGACCAATTTCACTCAGCATAATGTCCTCTAGGCTTAACCATGTTGTGAAATGTTGCACAGATTCATTCTTCTTCAATGTTTTATAGTATTCCATTTTGTGGATGTACCAGTTAAACCATTCTTCTAGGCTGTCTCCAACTTTTTGATGTCTACTGTAGACAGCATACCGAAGGATCCTATTTTCTTATCCATTCTGCTCGCTATGTCTCCTGTATGCTACATTTAATCAATTTGCGTTCAGTGCAGTTATCAATAGGTATAGTTGTAATTTCCTGTGTTAATTTTATTAGTGGGTTTTCATTTGTTAATGTCTATTAAACCTTTCTGATTTTCCTTTTTTTGTTTTCATGTACAAGTGTATTATTTTTGAGGTTACCTGGCAATTTTTTTTACCCGATTAACAGTCTGTTTTATCTTGAAATCTGACTTCCTTGCCATTTGGAATTTCCGTATCTACACTATTCTCTCATTTTGCTTTGTAGTCGACTTTATTATACAATATCTCTGGCTTCCTATTTTCAGTCTTGTAGGTTTGTTTTAAGGAGCCCTGGTAGCATAATGGGTTAGGAGTTGGGCTGCTAACCACAAGGCCAGCAGTTTGAATCTACCAGCTGCTCCGTGGGAGAAAGATGAGGCTTCCTGCTTCCATAAAGATTTACAACCCCGGAAGCCCTATACTGTGTCACTATGAGTCTGTATTGACTCCACAAGCACCAGGTTTATTTTACTTTAAATACTTCTATGTCTACATTGAGTCCTGGTGGTGGTGTCAGGTATGATAGTCTCAAGTTGGTGTATGCTGTTGCTGGTTTTCAGTCCAAAGAACACTTTTAGTAATTTTTGTCAAGTTAGCCTCATCATTACAAATTCCTTTAATTTCTGTTTATAAGGAAGTGTCCTAATTTCACCGTTACATTTGAGGGAATATGATTCTTGGTTAGCAATTTTTTGAATTTCAGTTTTGTATATGTCATCTCATTGCCTTCATGATTCCTGCTGAGAAATGACAACTTCCTCTTACTGGTTCTTTGTAACTTTTTGTTTTTCGCCAGCTGCTCTCAGGATTCTTTCCCTGTCTTTGATTTTGATTGATATATCTTGGTGATTTTCTTTTGTGGAGGTGGAACCATGCTCAATAAGGTATACAGAACACTAATGAGATGGTCAGTTTTGCCATTCCACTAGGCTTTAAGAATTAATCAAGAGAGCAGAGGGTAGAGGGGGAAACTCACTACTACCAAGAAAGACCATGTCCGTCGAACCTGGGGTCCCAGTGCTGAGAACCTTCTAGATCCGGAACTGTTAACACTGGAAATAGCATGAGACCGTGAGAAGCAGCAGTGAACAGCAGCAGCAGAGCCAGACAGCACAGTAGGCTTCCTGGTCCATGGAGCAAGGTGGTTACTTACAGTGAATGCGCTAACCCATGAAGTAAGAAAGGTGAGTGCCATTGGGGCAGGAGGCCTCCTGGCAGAGTGGGGTACCTTTGGGCACTTTGTTGGTAAAGCTAAAGATTTGTGTAACACTTGCCAGAGGCCAGGCCTAAGTAAGCAGAAGGCTGAGACAGGAGGTCTACCTTTATGGAGCTGAGGGGAACCCTGTTAGAGCTGACAAGCTCTACTACACTGAAGAGAGACTTTGACTACGTTTCCTGATTCCAATTTAACCTGTTGTTGTTAAGTCCTGTCGAGTTGGTTCCAACTCAGAGTGACCCAATATAGGGTTTCTGAGGCTATCAATATTTGCAGGAGCAGAAAGCCTCATCTTTCTTCTTTAGAGCGGATGGTAGGTTTGAACAGCCAACCTTGTGGTTCACAATCCAGTGTTTACCCTATAGAACCAGAGTGCTCCCTATAACCTTTTATTCCCTTAATAAACTTAGAACTCTTAAATCTCAAGTTCTGTGTGGCTATTGCAATGCATGATCATACCTAGTAGAAAAGTACAGAGCGAGATGGGAGGAATGGCTGGTATCAGAATTGGCAAAATGGCTGGAGGGTGGATGTATAAGGGGGCTTCAGAAAGCTCCTGAAAAAATGGAATTATCTCCTAGGTGTCAAGACTTGAGGTGCTGACATACTCTCCTCCCCTGAACTTAAGAGATCTGACACTGTTGCCAGGCCATTTTGGCAGTAAGCCAGATCCAATGACTAGCATCTAATATATGACAGAAGTCATGTTGATGTTTATAGTGGGCACTTATTCTGGGGGACATCATTTGCCACATTGTGAGCTGCTCTTCAGAGACCTACATGGCAAAGAACTGAAGGATGTCTCTGATCAACAGCGAGCAAGCGATCGAGCAAGCGATCAAGCAAGGCCTTTAATCAACAGCCTGTGAGGAACTGAGGCAGCAGTGACTATTTGAATGAGCTTGGAAGAGGATCCTTTAGACCCAGGTAAACCTTGAGATTACCTAGCTCTTGACTCTGATTTCATGAGACCCTGAACCAGATCACTGAGTTTAGTTACGTCCAGATTCTTGAGTGACAGAAACTGATAATAAACTATTGTATTAAACTGCTAAGTTTGGGGGTAAATTGTTATGCAATCATGGGTTAAAAGGCCTAATACTGGTACTGCTAAAGGAGGCAGACACCTCATTCTTTCTTATTTTCAGTAATGGTGCCAATTCAGCATTTAAAGCTGTTTGTTATTTGCAGTAAGTTTGGTGGTGAATAACAAGTGAATTTGTTCAATTATGGATCAAGTTAAAGGCATGCTTCTAAGTAAAAGGCTTATTTTCTGGTGCAGGAAAATGTCAAGATAAATCCTAAGAATGTCTGAAATAACATTAGCACAATCAAAGAAAGTATATATTCTTAAGCCAGTTGAAAGATATTACTAATCTGAATATGTAATTTTTGGAATTCTTCCTCTAACAACATCACTACTTTATAGTCTTACCTTACTAGGTAGGTAAATCAAGTTAGATTTTTAAAAACCATAATGTACTTTGGAAAATGACTATTTTTATTGATAGTTACATTAAAAGTGTTTGGAATTAGCAGAAATGACCACTAGATGCCACTGTCATTGTAGTTTTTAAGAAGGTTAGAAATTAGGATCAAAGATCCATTCAGAAACAAGGCCAATTTTTCATCAGCAGTAACATCAGAACAGAAATTGTTGAATTGTATCAATGAAGAACGAGACTCTTGTTTTCACTACACAGAAGTTTATTGTGAAAGTAAATTAAACAGACAACACACAGTACAGCATGGCTAATGGTGGCAAAAGCAATTCGGTAGCTTAAGGCAAGTTTTAATGGAAATGAATTTAGAAAAGATGATGCAATGATGTCATTTCATTTAAATAGAGATTATGAAAAAATATCAAATTGCATCAAATAACTTAATAAAGCCTGCACTACTAGAGGGGGAAGGGCTCATGATCTTAATGCCAGCATTAAGACAGACAAAGACGCAGTGCTAAATGACGAGAGAAATTCCATATTTACAGAAAGATGGCAGCATAAACATTTCATAACATATGATCTTATTAATGGTGAATTGAAAGCCCTTAGCTAGAAGCAGTAGAGAAAAATGTATCATCATGTTATTAAAAAAAAAAAAAAAAAAAAAAGTACAGAAATCAGAGCTAAGGAACTCTGTGATAAACTGTCAAACACCACTGTAAGGACCACTTAAAAGGCAATTTCCTCAGGGGAAATTGGGGCACTGAGTGTGTAAACATGTGAGCTGCACAACACCAAATACCAACCAGATTCATTCAGAGGACTTAGATACAGATCACCATGACCTTTGATGATGTATTATTGTTTATGGCAATTTAAACATACTCCTTACCATGCACGACTTAAATATATAACAACTGTTTTCATTCTGAGATACAGGATATCAGTTTCTGAATTTTAAGACCTATTTACAATGAAAGTCACACCTAGCTCTTCCATCAAGTATATTAATATAGCTTTTCAATGCAATGACCTCATTCAGACGTTAGTTCTTTATCTGAACTGACCAGGTTAGTTCAAAATAATGCCATTTTATTATGCTAAAATACATTTTTTTGCAAATATTCAGCAATGAGCAACATTTAATGAATGTGACCATGAAAAATATTTGTACAGTGGTGCCAAATCACTTAGCACTTTTTTCCAGTCTCATTTAAAGAAAATTTAAAAAAAAATTGCACTTAATTTGATATTGAACCTATTTTTCAAAATTCTTACACTAATTTGTCTCCAAAGGTTCTACGAATAGTACTCTTGGAGAATACCATATGTATAGTTGTGAATGTGTTTTTTTTTCCAGAATAATTAATGGAAGAAAATGTATCCTCTGCACAGATTAACATTTTCTCTTTAAGACTAATCTTTCATCATCTAGCATTGTTTTTACAAAAGCATGCAATATAAAATACACATAAAAGCAGCTATCTCAAACATGGTTTTAATACGGTATTACCTTTGTAGCGGACTCATCACTGTCTCCAGTTTAATATGCTGTTACATACATGAAGTAACTCCAGTATCCCTTTTCTGACTGACTTTAAAAAAAAAATAAAATCCCTGAATATAACAGAAGCCAGCCTGCGACTTCTTTAGGCATTTCAGTAGAATATTTTCATCTATGTAGAACATCTCCACCCAAACTCATGATTACAGAACTGGTGCAGATTAGAGTTAATACCAATTTAAAGATTTTGTTTAAAAAGGAAAGAAAGAGTGTATATTACTAGTATTTAAAAGGATACTGCAACTTTAACAACTGTAAACTTTGTGTTAGAAGGCTGTGGCAGACAGCTCTGTGCTACTAGGTTTTAGCTTGTAAATAATGCAAACACATCAGCAGTTTTAAAATGCCATAGACTACAGAAACACAAAAGGAAATGGGGGGAAACAAAATAAAAAATTCAAGAATACTTATCTAAAATGAAACTGTATAACCAACATATCTAAAAAGTACAAAAGAATTGAAGCAACTGACTAGGGAGAAAAACCCCTCTGATATAAATTTTAACTTCTTGACCTATGTTTGAATGACATGAAATTTAAATTACAAGAAGAAAAAAGGGCTTTACAAGTGAATAGCTCCAACTCACTAAAATAATGCCAACAAGGTAAGCTTGCATAGAAAAAAATTTCAAATTGTTACTGGCTACATGCTTAAAATATTAGAAATGCAGGTATTATAATCATAGTGCAAAACCATGGCAATTTGTGATGTCTGTTACTGCCTAAGGTTGAGAATTAGACCGTAGTACCTCCAGTTATCACAGTTTCTGGTCTTGGAATCAATTATGTCTACCAATTAGAAGCAATATATATGTAAAGATGAGCAACACATCTGCTGTGCTACTAATTAACCAAGTTTGAGGTCATCACCACCACCTAAATTAGAACCAGGACTAGGGTCTTGTTGTCTTCTTGCCTGCAATGATAAAACAAGAGTAATTGGGGATCAAAATGTGTCTTGCAAACCAAATCACTATACATAAAATATAAAATATAGCAATACAAAAAAGCTCACAAATTAAAAACGAAACAAAGTGTTTTTAAAAACAGAATCTCTACATGTAAAAGGCAAAGAAACATTAAATCATGTGTGAAATATTTTGCCCATGTCTAAAAAGAACATTAATATACCACCTTAGAGACTTTTCTTTTTCAGTAATGTTGTTTAGTGCTGTTGAGTGGGTTCCAACTCATAGCGACCCTGGTACAGGGTTTCTGAGGATTGGCTAGTAGATTTGAACCACCGACCTTAAAGTTCAAATTGACTTTGCAGTCTAGTGCTTATCCTACAGCACTACACCAGGACTCCTTTTTCAGTAATAGCTGACATTTGTTAATACTAACTATGTGCTGGCACGATTCCAAGAATTTTTATTGATGAATTTATTTAATTCCTTCCAACAATCTATAAAATAGATGCTATTATTAATCCCCATTATTTATAAAGAAACCCAATCACAGAGAAGTATATGGTAGTCTGCTAATTAAATAACTGAAAAATGTAATAGTGAATTCTGTTTTCCTGAATTCCATCTCTATCAATTGAGTCTGAACCAGAAATCTCTATATCAAGAGAAGTCCAGAACTGCTATGGAAAAATAATGTCTCAAAAGCAAAGACAGAAATATAAAATGAGAGTCCTTGTTGCATATAGATTGATACGCAGAAGCATCTTTATAACAATACTTAATAAATAAGCAAGAAGCTTGACAATGATAAAAATTAAGGATTTCAACAGTCACTTTAGAATGAACATTCTTTCTTGAAATATTTATGGTAAATTAGTTAATAGAGAGCATTTACCATCTAACGTATTGTGTCTGATAAAAAACAACAACAACCAAAAAGCCACTGTGGTCATATCTAATTCCAAGACACAGTGAGCATATAGGGCAGAGTAGACCTCATAGGGTTTCTGAGGCTGTAAATCTACAGAAATGAGTGCCACATCTTTCTCCTCAAAAGCAGTTGGTGGGTTTGAACTGCTGGGTTAGCAGCAGCCTAGTGCTTATAAAGTTTTTGTACAAAACAGTATCCCTTTTCCTCAAGTTTCTTCAATGCCTCCAAATGCGGATCAAGCAAGTATCTGTTGTGTCAATAATCTAGTTACTCTGGCAACAGTTTTCCTGTTAAGTAATGGCTATTCCAGTTTACCAGTTGTTTAGGCCAAAACTTTGAAGCCATCCTGAATATCTGTTTCTCTCTCAACCAACAGCAAATTCTGATAGTTCCACCTTTAGAATATATTCTGAACCCAACCACTGCTACTTCCACCACTCAGCCTTAGTTCTGGGCATCACCATCTTTGTCTTGAGCGTCTTGTTTTCTAACCACCTCTATTTTATGCTAGCAGTTGGAGCTAACTACAATAATCTGCGCAATACTTTTAGCCAAATAGAATAGTATATTAATGTCACCTGGTAGTGTAGTGGTTATGAATCGGGCTGCTAACCTCAGGGTCAGCAGTTCAAATATACCAGCTGTTCCACGGGAGAAAGATGAGGCTTTCTGCTCCTGTAAAGATTTACAGCCTCGGAAACCCTGTACAGGGATCACTATCAGTCAGAACCGAATCCACAGCACATAACCACCCTTACCACTGACCAATTGCTTCTCCATTGTCTATGTGAGGTTTTGAAAACAAACACAACCAAAAATCACATTCTAGTTTCAAGTCTTTAGATCTAAAACCATTGTTCAAGAAACAGGACCCTTGGGGCCTTCTAAGAATCATCTCAAGTCACACTTAAAGTATAAACAAAAAAAAATTGCAATCTGTTGCCAATGAGTTGGTTCTGACCCAGTGACTTTTTAGGACAGAGTAAAGCTGCTCCATAGGGTTTCTAGGTTGTAATCTTTATGGACGCTGACTACTACCTCTTTCTTCCATGAAACAGCTGGTGAGTTTAAACTGCTGATCTTTGGCTAGCAGCTGAGCATTTCATCACTGCACCACTGGGACACTTACTTGTACTATAAGATCAAGTTTAGTAAAAAATTTTAGCTAGGTCACCATTTGTCAAAAAGGTTATGTTGTTTAAATTAAAATGATAGTTGCCTTACTCACTTTCAAACAAATCAATTAAAATCAACACAATTTAGTTTTATAAATTTAGAACCAGTTCTCTTACAGATTTTAACCATTTTGTATTTTGAGACTACACAATGACTAAATTTCAACATGTTCCCATCAAGTAGCCAGGTTAAAATGCTGCTGCCTAACAGACTGAAGGATAACCAGCATTAGAAAAACAGTTTGTTCCACAGAGTCAGTGCTAAATGTTGTATGTTGTCAAGCGCTGTTAAGTTGGTACTGACTCATAGAGACCTTATATAAGGTTTCTGAGGCTGTAAGTCTTCACGGAGTACAAAGCCCCATCTTTTTCCAAAGGACAGATCAATTCTGTAATATCAGAAATGGAGATATAAGCATCTGGTTTCAGTCAATAAAGGTTAGAAAGGGGCTGAGCAATGAAAAAACACTGAGAAAAATCAATCCTAATTATATATTTATAAATCACAACTAATCTATCACTAATAATTTGTGAAAAGCATGTTTCAGCTTTTGTCTTGGTATAAGAATAATTTTCAAATTATTTTATTAATAATGGGATGACTCCAAATGAGTGAACAAAAAACAGCTGCCCTACCAGTTGTTAATTTATTTAAAATATTTTATTTGGCAAATGCATGAAGACCCAGAATAAAGAAAAGCCTTTTTGCTATTTATTTGTGTTTTATGTTTCTGTTTATATTGTAGAGAAGGGATGGAGGAAAATGCCGAGAAAGAAAAATACTGTGAAGGGGAAACCTAATAGAAGATGAATGAGAGTAGAAGAGGGAAGAGAAAGAGCTAGACATTAGGAGGAAATTGAATACTGGAAGAGAAGATGGATAAAGGCTGTCATATGAGAGACAAACACAAAATCAAAGTTCAGTGAAATGGCTTCCACAGGCCTGAATCCAGCAACTGGATGAAGGGCTGAGAGGCAGTACTTCTCAACTCCGCGGCAGTTTCTAACAGAGGCAGGCATTTTAGAAGGAATTTCTCTAGAATAAGCTGAGCTAGGTGATGGCAAAGAAACTCGCTGGACTTGATGATTCGAAATAAATACTGTTGGTAATTTCTAGTTCCTTTCTCCCCAGTCCACCTAAGTGGGCCCTGAAATCTAACCCTTTACTAACAGTTATTTCAGCACAGAGTTTTAATATAAAACAGATGTTCAGGAATCTGACTTCAGAACATAAATCTGTTTTTAATATTTATAAAGAATTAATCCAGGCCTTTTACTAAAGACTTACTACCCACTGTTGTTTTCTTTCAGTATAACATCACCCAGAGAGACATGGCAAATCTGGTTCTGGGTGACAGTAATGAGACAACTCCAAAATGAAAGCGACACAAGTCCTTAGCAGTTATTCCCTTCTATTGAGGGCTCTGTAGAAGTGAAGAATGAGGTGTCCAAGTGATTAAAAGATGTTGGTGATTCCCATCCTCTTATTATCATTACTGAAAGTACCAAGGACTGCCAAAAGAACCACCCAATCTGTTTTGGAAGAAGTATGACTGATTGCTCCTTAGAATCAACAATGACGAGATTTCATCTCTCATACTTTGGACATGTTAGGAGGGGCCAGTCCCTGGGGAAGGACATCATGCTAGGAAAAGTAGAAGGGTCAGTGAAAAAAAAAAAGACCCCCCCCGCCGTGAGACTGACACCATGGCAGCAACAATGGTGCCAATCATAACAGTAATTAGGAGGATGGCACAGGATTGGAGAGTGTTTTGTTCTGTTCTGCACAGAGTTCTTATGAGTTGGAACTGACTCAACAGCACTTAACATTATCAAGATCATTAAAGCACAGCTGAAGGCCTTAAGAGCAAGACTGAGTTTTCTTGAGGGAAAAGAAATTCAGCCTCAATACTGTAAGACAGATATTCTGCTAGAATTTCTAGCCTGCCATCAAGTCTATATATTTTGAATTTGTCATGAGCCAATTCCTTAAAATCAATCAATCTCTCTTTACACACATACACACGATTGGTTCTGTTTCTCTAGAAAACCCTTTTCAAAATACTTTCAATATAAAAAGACAATAGAAATAATTGGTTTCAGGGCTTGGACCCAGAATGGCGCTACCACTTTAGCTATGTGATCATAAGGAAGATTCTTAATTCCTTCCCAACTTTATGTTCCTCAAAATGGAGAAACTCCTCAAGAAGCATTACATTAGCATAAAAAAAATACTTGTAGTGTATACAATCTGACACATAGTAAACACTGAAGCTGCTATTGTTCTAACCAAGTTGCTTATCACTTCCTAATATATCTAGATGTACTTTTCAAATATTAAAAATAGCATTCTACAGATAGTGATTTAAAAAAAAAAATTAAAACAAAGGAAGTTTTAATAAAATCTACATCTCTTATGATGGAGAACAAGCCAAGGCTCTTCTCTCTTACTCTAAGAGATACCTAGTACTCTTCCTCTCCGTAACCCTCTTCATAGACTATGGAATTCCTATTCCCAGTTCATGCTCATCTATTGCCCTTGCCCAAAACACACTCTAGAACAGTCCAGTATATATTCTTATTTTTACACAAAAAGTAATGTTAGTATATAGTTCAGGGATTTGAAACCTGAAGATGGTCTGTGGGAATTCAAAAATAAATAGAAGCTAATTTTTTTTCTTGGATCACACAGAACTGAAAATTTCAAAAACACAGAAAATACAAATGGAAAAACCAGATAAAGCATTTTGTCTGTTTTTATTTCCAAGTGGTTTTCACATAAAATGTTCCTGTGATTTGAATGAAAACTGATAGAGGGAGAAATAAAAAAGATCACCATTTATTTGCTAACACTTTATAACCTACCTAACCAAATGAAAGCATCTTTTAAATAATGAGAGAG